AAAGATGAGGCCTTGCTATGTTGCCGGGGCTGGTCTCGAACTCCTGACCTCAAGTGATCTTCCCATCTCAGCCTCCTGAATTGCAGGGATTACAGATGTGAGCCACCATATCCAGCTAGTAGACATTTTTTCTATTGACCACCTCCTTCCCAACTTTTTTTTTCATATAATGCAAAATTAATCATTTTAAAGTGAATAACTCATTGGCATTTAGTACATTCACAGTGTGGTGCCTCTAGTTCCAGAACATTTCATCACCCCAAAAGGAGACCCCATCCCCATGAACAGTTGCTCCCTATGCCTCTCCCCCAGACTGTCTCTATGGATTTGCCTGTTCTGAACATTTTATATCGGTGGAATCATATACCATGTGACCTTTTGAATCTGGCTTCCTTCACCAGCATCATGTTTTTTGGTTTGGGTTTTGGTGCTTTTTTTTTGTTTTTTGAATCAGGGTCTCACTCTGTCATCCAGGCTGGAGTACAGTGGCACACTCACCGCTCTCTGCAGCCTCAATTTCCTGGGTTCAGGTGATCCTTCTACCTCAGCCTCCCAAAGTGCTGGGATTACAGGCGCACACCACCAGGTCCAGCTAATTTTTTTTTTTTGAGTCGGAATCTCACTCTGTCACCCAGTAGACTGCAGTGGCACACTCATAGCCACCGCAGCCTCAACCTGCTGGGTTCAGGCGATCCTTCCACTTCAAGCCTTCCAAGTAGCTGGAACTACAGGCTGTGTGCCACCACGCCTGGCTAATCAGCTATTTTTTTTATTTTCTGTAGAGACAAAGTCCCACTATGTTGCCCAGGCTGGTCTCGAACTCCCGTCCTCAAGCAATCCTCCTACCTCAGCCTTCGGAAGTGCTGGGATTACAGGCATGAACCACCATGCCCCGCCAGCATCATGTTTTTAAGGTTCATCCACATGGTAGCATGGATCAGAGCTTCATTCCTTTTTATGGCCGAGTAATATTCCACTGGATGAACATGTCACATTTTGTTTATCTGTTCATCTGTTGATGGGCATTTGGGCTGTTTTCACCTTTGACTGTTGTGGAATATGCTAACTTGAACACGCATGTACATTTACTAGTTTGAGTACCTGTTTTCAGTTCTTTGGGGTTCACGTTCTTCTTCCTTACAGGTATATTCCTTCCTTACTGGTATATGGCTTTCCAAGTAAATTGGTTGCACTCAGATCCTGGTCTTGGGGTCAGCTCCTGAAGGAACCAAAACAAAGCAGGTGGGTAGCAATACCATGAATAAAACAGTGAGTGGGTGTGGAGCGCTTGCCATGCACCATGCTCAGGGGGAAGCCTCGTCTCAGCCTTCCGAGTAGCTGGCGCATGCCAGTAGTTTGCCACCATGCCCCCCTAATTTTTTTATTTTTTGTAGAGATGCGATCTCACTCTGTTGCCCAGGGTGGTCTCAAACTCCTGGTCTCAAGTGATCCTCCCGCCTCAGCTTCCCTAAGTATTGGGATTACATGCATGAGCCACCACCCCTGCCAGCTGTGGATATTTATCTCCTTACTAACTGAATGATGGGCAATACTTCTCTAGCAATTAGGTGTAGTGGAGTGACTACTACCAATTGGGACCTCTCCCTAAGTGCTCTCTGTGCATTTCTTTAGCATTTTGTTGGCAAATGCTTTTCAAGTCTCCCCACCCCCACCCCATCTGCTATGTGTCTGACCCAGTTCTAGGTTCTGGTGAATCATGGTGAACAGGACACACATGGTCCTGGCTCTTTTTTTTTTTTTTTTGAGTTGGA